TTTTGAGAAAGGAAAACTAGACAGATTTCAGCATCTTATTATAGGAAGTTTCCAGGAGCAAACTAATTATGAACACATTTTTGCCTCAAAATATTAAATATTTAATATTAAAATCAGCCAGAAGTCATTATCAGCCTGCCTTTTTTATAAAAACTGTAGAATGAGCTCCATGAACAATGAAACAGAATTTTGGCCCAAAATGAATATTTAAAATACATACAAGGCTGGACTTGGCTTTTCCCCATTAATGAGAAGAAGGAATTTCTGCTTTTTTTGCTGTTAAAAGTTACGAAAGTTCTACTCGTGTTGACCAAAGTAACAATATCATCCATGGTCATCCTAAAACATAACTGAAATTTATTTTGGCATTTTTGTTTGATATGTTTGTGCTATTATTTTCAGAAATGCTTGTATGTATCTCTTAAATAAGTCTTTCACCTCACTAAACAGACTCTAGTAAAGGTTCTCAGTATTTTACCCAACTGTGCGAGGTCTGTTCGGGCCCATTCATGGTGCTTTAGTCTTCCTCTTAATAAAAAACAATCATTTGGGGAATACATTTTCCAGGCAGTTCCCCTGCCTCCCGGGGAAAATATTTTGGCCTCCCAGTGACCATAGGATTCAAAGACTTGACAGGGAAGCCCTAGAATTCTTGAGGAGCCAGGCCTTTGAAAGATTCATTGTTGTGGACTCTCCCTTTGAAAGAGACCACTTTATCTTGCTCCTAAACGTCTATAGGACAGACATAGCACTTTCTGAAAGGAAACTCTGGGTAACGTAGAAGGACAAACGTATGGAGGTAATCCACTATGGGCAGTGTGTAATTTGAAGAATGATAGTTCCATTTTTATGGTTGCCATAACAATCACACAGTTGTGCAAAAAGTGTGCGCAGCTTTTATAGAAGGGAGCTGGCACCATTGTGGTGGTTCTTCTCATATCAGAACAACTGTTTGCAGATCTGAAAAATAGGGGTGGCTTAACCCTTCCCCAGTTAGCGCAGCATGTTCCCTGAGAAGGCTCTTTGGAGCTCTGGGACTGTTGAAATGTATTCACCACTTACATTTGCATTTTAGCCTGATAAATGGATTGAGAATTAAGGATGATGATCCTCTCAACAGCAGGTTCTGAATTCCTAACTTGGGAATTCAAAGGATGAGAAAAAAAATACTGTTCCTCAAATAGAAATCTCGGAGAGATGTCTAGACATAGTTAATTCCTTGACTTTGTAACTATTCTTAATTGTGGCCACTAGAATTTAAATCCGTTAAATACTGGCCTTTACCCCGTTGTGTTTAAGTCTTTGATAAAGTCATATTAAAATTTGCTTCCAATTTCTGTTTTATTTTTACATGTTAACTGTGTCTCTTCTAGAAATTGCAAAACCAATGTAAAAGTATAGCGTATTTGAGTGAAAATATATCCATGCATATTCTTTCTTTGGCTACTTTTTCCTATTTTTGTATGCCCTTTTCAAAAGAAAGTACTTGGGACATGGCTTTTTCTGACATACTGAGAGTTATCTACTTTCAGTAAACTTGATATCAGAACTCAGTATGTGACTTTTCAGGTTAAGGGTGAAAAACCATCATATTTGGATTTGGTTCCTAAAAGTGAATTCATTGTAACTTAGTCAACCTTAGAGAAACTTTTTGTGAAAGAAATTTGGGGTATATATTACTTCAGCCAAAATGCTTCTGAGGTGTTTAGCTCTTAAGATAAAGTATGGAACTAAGGGCGATGAGAAGAGATGTCCACTTCCATTGAAATGGAGCTTCTCCATCTACTTCACTTCTTTTAACACTTTCTCTTGAATTCCTGTCCCATAAAATCAAAACTTTAATCCTGTGACCTTCGGTAAGTTACTTAATCTCTCTGAGCCTCAGTTTCCCCATGTACAAAATAAGAACAAAAATAATACCCACCATTATTATAATTCTGTCCTCTCATAAGGTGATTTCTAGGAAATAGAGAAAAGTGTTGTTGTTTTTTTTTAATGTTTTTATTTCTGAGAGCGAGCGAGAGAGACAGTGTCAGGGGAGGGGCAGAGAGAGAGGGAGATGCAGAATCCGAAACAGGCTCCAGGCTCTGAGCTGGCTGTCAGCACAGAGCCCGAGGCGGGGTTCGAACCCACAAACCGTGAAATCATGACCTGAGCCGAAGTCGGACGCTTAACCAACTGAGCCACCCAGGCACCCCAAGAAGAGTGTTTTTTTAAAGACAGCCAGATCCCCCATTATGTTGAAGCCCTCTAATGCATTTACACTCTGTGAAGGTTTTGTACATTTTATAGAATTTTTTATGCTTAAATTTTTAACACCCTATTTAGAGCCTTCTAGATTTGATCCCTCTGTGAGAGCATTTTCTGGAAGTTTATTACTATTTCATTTTGTCTGATTTCAAAACTTAATTTGTATTAACCAGTATTCTCATACCGTGTTTTTAACCCCGATCGGATATTTTAAATCTGGATTATAGGAAATCCTGCTAGCAGAGGTATAAGGAGAAAGAGAGCTGTTCAGAGAGAGAGCTTTGGATAGAGAGACTTTCTGGGCCCAGTGGACTCAGCTGCTCTCCTTGCTCCCTTAGGCACGCAGACCTAGATTTGAGACTTCTTGGACAGAAAGTGAAAGAGTGCAGAGGCCACCCCATCCCTGCTCTACATATAAACTCTCTCAGTTGAGTTGTGCCCAATTGTCCCATCCCTTCGGGTAAACTAACTTGGTGGATTCTGGGCCTTTGCACAAGCTTGTTTGTCCAAGTCTTTCTTCCTCCACTCTAACCCATGGCTCGCTTCCTCACCTCCTTCAGGTCATCTTCAAATGTCTTCATCTCATTGGGACCTACCCTGGCTATCCTAATTGTAATCATAACTTCCAGTGTGCTTCCCTACTCTGTTCTAATTTTTCTTTCCTTCTCCTTCCTTCCTTCCTTCCTTCCTTCCTTCCTTCCTTCCTTCCTTCCTTCCTTCCTTCCTTCCTCTCTTTGCACAGCACTTAATTACAATACTGTTTCTTTTCTGTCTCCTCCCCCACTATAATATAAATGGGTAGGAATCTTTGTTCTTAAATGTGTCCCAACCACCTAAAATGGTAGATGCCCGGTAAATACTGAATGAAGGAATTTTGGCCTTCTTTCTCTTGACCTCTGATACTTTCTTTATATTGATATTCCCACTGGTTCTTACCAATTTGATTAGTTCTTGACACAAGATAAGTGAAAGTTATTATAAAAACAACTGCAGTTACACATTTCGAGTAAGAAACCATTTAGAGTAAGAAAGAGATGGGTCTATTTCCTGGGGAAAGTTATGTTTGAAGGGCTGCATGGTGAAAGAGAGAGCCAGCTAATTCTTTGTGGCTACAAATAGCTGAATTATGAAGTTTTTCAGAATTAGATGTCAATTCAGCATGTGAAAGTACTTTCTGATAGTCAGAGCTCTCTAAATTGAAAGGCCAGCCTAATGAGGAAATAAACTTTACTACCTTCACATCCTTCAAGATGTGAGTTGATCAGTTTGATTGACTTTTTTGGTTTAGAGTCATTTGAGGGATAAAATTTGGACTAGGGTGACCTCTAAGGAACTTCCAGTCGTGATTATTCTATGATTCTGCTCTCTGAGCCAATAAGGAATAATTTCCAGGATTTATTGTTCAGCAAAAAAAGCAAGTTGCAAAAGAGTTGATAATATTCATCTGTTTGTGTAAGCACGAAGAGAAAATAAGGAAAAATAATATCAAAGAAAAGCAGAAACACTGAAAGGATAAATCAGACTATGATAATAATAGTCACCTCCAGGGGGCACGTGGGGCCAAGGTAGAAGGTAGAGAGGAGGGTAAGACTTTTGTGAGTACACTTGATCTTTGAACCATTTAAATGTTTTAAATGTTCAACAATAAAATGAAATCAAATCTAAAAAGAGATAAAAGCAAGACGTCTAAAGTTGATGTAGAACAAAGTCAAGCGGTTCTAAATGTGTACTAAATGCATAGCATCCCCACATACAGGAAAAAGAATTCAGAGAACTTTCGGCACCGTACTTTTGAGCACTCTGTGTACTTTTAGTGACTGTATTCTAAGGATAAAACTCCAAATAAATCTTAATAGACTCTTTGTTGCTAGTGCTGTTTGCATTATGATTCTGTAACTATTTTGAATATTGAGGCCATTGGGAGCTGAGGCTCATAGTGGGAGAATGAAGGTATAAATGTGGAATGGGAGAAGACGAGGAAGAATGCTGTCGTGTTAGATGCCAGTTGGAGTGTCGGTATGAGCTCATGATTTTTAAACAGTATGTTAGGTTCAACCACATGAAATTGCCAATTTTTAGGCCACAACTAGTCAGATCTTAGCAATTTCTCCTATTTAGTTCAGTATTTTCTAATTCTGCTTACTAAAAGGGCCTAGAAGCCAAGATACCCCAGTAGCAATGAACACAGCAGTCTAATATGCCATATTGGTTTCTAAGTATCATTCACTCCCTGCCAAAAGGAATTAGGGCTCCTTAGGGAATTGGATGATTATTAGTCTGGGACAGGAAATGTATAAGGTGAGACTGAAACTTATGCTATGCCAAAAAGCATAGAAGCGCTCAAAGATTTATTTTTTTTATTTTTTAATATTTATTTATTTTGGGGAGAGTGGAAGCAGAGGAGGGGACAGAGAGAGGGGACAGAGGATCTGAAGTGGGCTCTGCACTGACAGGCTCACAGCCGTGAGCCCAATGGGGGGCTCATACTCCCAAATCGTGAGATCATGACCTGAATTTCTGAGGTTGGATGCTCAACTGACTGAGCCACCCAGGTGCCCAAAAGCGCTGAAAGATTTATTAGGGACACATACCACAGAGACACAGAAGATCACTTGAGAAAGCTCCCACTAACCTGATTTGGGACAATTTGAGTATCAGAAAGAACAGTAATTGGTAGTAGATTATAATACCTTGAGTTTCAAAAAGAAAAATCAGTGACTCTGTAATAATACTCAAAAACAAACTTTCGGGCGCTCACTCAGGCAGCACATATGCTAACATTGGAACAATACAGAGAAATTTCGCACGGCCCCTGTGCAAAGATGACATACAAATTCATGAAAAACAAACTTTGGAGGCACAGCAGGAGAAGCTCTTGGCAGAAGAGAGCCAACTAATAAATGTATTTATAGGATATGAAAAGCACCATTTTATAACTTACAGAGTTACACTGATTTGGGCAAAGATCACCAGTAGATGCTAAAAGCATTGCTTGAAAGTTTCTTTGAGAACAGGTTATTCACATTATCTAAAAGCCATATTCCACAGATTATTTGTTAAATACAGAGTAAAAGGTAACCTTAAGCTAGAAAGATCAGTCTGTTAGCATCTTAACCAAGTAATCAAACCTGGCAGCCTGACAGTTTGTGCCTTCTGAAGGAATGCAGTAAGAAGTACACACTACCACCCATGCAGTGTTCAAGCCAGAATATTCCTCCTGCATCCCTTTGAGACTTAAATCTGAATTTCTGTTTAGGAAATTCAGAGAAGATTAATTTTGCTGCATTTGATTTCCTCCTGTCCCTTCCTTTCTTTACCTTCTGTGAGGAAACAAGCTGCTGAATCCAGGACATAAGACATTCTCCAAGACATCTGGCTCGGACTCTTCAAAAAACAGCAATGTTATATTTAAAAAAAAAAAAAAAGGACTCTTTTACATTAAACGGACCAAAGAGACACAACCACCAAATACTAGGTATAAACCTTGATTAGATCCTACATCAGGAGGAAAACAAAGAGCTAAAGAAACTTTGGAGGGACAATTTAAATACGATCTGTAAATTAGTCTTGTCTGTGGTAAAAATATTGTGGTTGTGTAGAAGAATGCCCTTATTCTTACAAAATGCATACAAAAGTGTGGAGGGGTAATCATCTCTGCAACGTAAGTTTAAATAGTCCAGGTGTAAAAAAAAAAAAAATCTAGATATATGCAGGGGGGGTGGAGAGAGGAGAAAGTAAAGCAAATATGACCAAGCATTGAGGTTTGATGAATATTGGTGAGAAGTACATGGACGTTCATTTTACTTTTCTTTCAACTTTCCTGAAAGTTGAACATGCTTCAAAATGGAAACTGAAGGGAAGAAAGTTAATTTTAGCACATTCTTTCAGTTGAAACCATGGCCTTCCTGACCCACGCTAGAGTCCCTGGCTCCCAGGGTTCTGGCTGGCCTTACCCCATGGCCTCTGCTCCAGAGTGTTGGCTGCTGAAGTAAAAAAAGAGGCACAGAATGATGAGAGTTTCCATGGGTAAGTGACTGTAACAGGGAAGACCCTTTCAGTGGACTCTGATTCAGCCCCATCCTATCTCTGTCCTTTAGAAAGTAACCTAATAACTATGTTAACTTGGTCTGGAATTTTGCTAGAGCCTGAGGTAGACCTTCTGTGGGCCCTAGATTAAAAACCCATGGTCACGTAAAAAGAGCCTGCTCAGGCTATTGCATCATTCCTTCCTGCTCACTCTGTGGCCTCAGATATGTCACTTCATCACCAGTGGGGCAAAGAGGGACAGATGGACCAAGGTCTCTTCTTGCTTTAAATAGACCTTAGTCTTTTTCGGTTCTGAAAAATCTGAGATTTGTGTCAGACTTTCTAGCATCTGTTGTGGTGGTAGGGCTGAGCATTAACATTTCCACAGCTGCCGTCAGGAAAAAATAAAAGGCCCAGACCTGCTACACCAAGAGGGGCAGGCCTAGGTTTGCCCTAGGTCGGCCCATCCCTGAGGAAAGTAGATCGAAATGGAAGCTCGTGAATTCATGAATTCGGCACCTCACGTGACTGGACCTCCCAGCGGCCATCTGGCTGGGCTCTCCACCTGGCACGGCACGGGTGAGCACGCCAGCCGTGTCGTTACTTTTCCTGCCGTCGTTACCTGAAATTTCCTGATTTCTATATAAACTCTGGTACCACCTTACCTAAGAAAGCGTTGGTGTAAAGATTTTAGTCCTTAGCCTCGTAAGGTCATTTCTTAAAGTTTTCCTGTTCCTTTCCACCCCGCCACCACCAATGCCCCCTGTCCCTTGCAGCAGAATTGCCTGCTAGCAAGCAGGCACGCTGAGAGCTGCGGACGGAGGAGGCCTCCATAAATGTTGTTAGTCTGGACATGGTCCCTGAACCGCAGTTTGTAAAACACTGTTTTATGAGAAAAGAAGATGGGACGAAGACAGAAAAGGACACCCTCGGAAACAATAACACTGTGGTGCGACCACAGGGTTGCACGCCAGGAGGTCATGAGTTCTAATCCTAAATGTATTTCCCAAGACGCAGTGGCAAAGTCGAATGGAAAAGCGCTAAAGAAGAGCCCTCTGGCCACTTTCTCAGTCACTTGTCCATCAGCTATTCATTACGTGTGTGTGTGCCTTCGCTGTGCTGGAGGAGATAGAGACCCGGTCCGGAGCCAGGCCTCGGGGAGCTCCCAGCCTTGTCACCGCAAGAAGACCTGTCCCTCGGTACCCACCAGCATGCTGGGGACCCCGGCCAGTGCCGTGGGGGAGGGGCAGGGGGGCCGGCGTGGGCAGGACAGCAGAGGAGAAGCCCTCTTCACTCTGTGGAGCCACAGAGGTTCGCTGGAAATTAGATGGCTCCAGAGCCGGTCCTTTTAAAGCTAGGGAGGCCTTAGGCACTGGAGCCTGGCGGGTGAGTGTCCCATGTTCAGGGCAGCACAGTGTTTCAGAGAGCAGAGGGTATAGAGGAAAGTCTGGCACGTAAGGCCCGTGTCGGGACTGTGCAAACTAACTGGAAGAATACAGGTTGGGGCCTGATCACAAAAGGCTGTGCATTCTAAGCTGAATTTCCGTTTGACTCAGGAAGGAGTTGATAAAGGTTCTTGGCCAGACGCATGCTTAGAGGTGATTAATCTGGCAACACCCATGACCTTCGGGAGAGCAGTTTCTGTGACATGGTAGGGGCCGTGGCCCAAGTCCAGCGAGGTGAGCGGTGACAGCATGGGGACAGAATGTTGCTGTGGAGACTAGGCAGCTGCCTCCAGTGCCAGGGAGGCAGAGGTGCTGGTTCCTTGCCGGGGAAGGCAGGGGCGAGGGAGGAGCGTGTGAGTGACAGAGGAACAGAAATTCTTCCTATGGTTCTGTTATTTCCTGGGATTCTGGGCAAGGTCCTAAGGGATTAGAGAAGCTTTTTAGTTACTTTTCATGTGTTCTTTTCCTGGACCAGTGACTTTGAGGAGGACAGTCTTAGAAGTTTTCTGTCACTTTAAAAAGTTCTACTAAGCCCCTCAGTCACGTGCCTTCAGAAATTCTGGTTACATAACGTTGCTCTGAATTGGAATTCTGCAGCCTCATGAACTGGAGTCTCATTCTTTCCCTCCCCCACCTGGCACTGTGTTGCCTGTGGGTCAGGATTAGCTTCTTTCTAACCATTGTTGCGGAACTCTTTAAATATTTGGTCCCACAGGTTCGAAAAGCTGGCAGGCCAGGCTGCTCCCTGCAGGTTGTGAGACCAAAGCCTTCCAGAAAAGGAGCCAGTAAAATCCCAAGCATGTTAACAGAGTGTGGCAGCTGCACGGTGCGCACCCCGGCGGGGCTGAGGCCGCAGCTCCCAGCCTCCGTGGCCCTGTGGCCCGCGACCAGGTGGAGCCCTCGGGCACCACATCACGGCCGATTTGTCAGCGTGGCGACGACAACAGATTAAATCTCTGGCTCGCAGCGCTGAGGACTGGGGTGTGTCAGGGTCACTCGCTGTTCCCTTGCTTCTCCCAACTTTCCATAGTGAGGGAGCAAGTGTGGAGCCCCCGGCTACGGTACAAAGACTTGTGGGGAGCTCGCCAGGCTTTGCTCTGTCTAGAAGCTCCTTCTCTTAGTAGCCCGTATTGAGGGTCTTTTCTTCCAGCATCCCCTTCAAGGTGATTCTGAAGTGTTGTAACCTCTCATCTGGGTGTACTTAGACCCTGCTTTTTAAAAAGAAGTTGTCTAAGGTAGCTAACAGGTATGCATGTAATGTAGTCAAATTTTTTTAAATTCAGATACAAGGCAAAAAGAATATAGAAGTGGGATAAGTAGTCGCAGCCAGGATAAAGCTTAGTTCACAAAGTTCAGACTACAAATAAGATCCTTCTGAGGCAGGTCACCATAGTTTTCTGGGTTTCCTAGCAGCCCAAGCAAAAAGGGAAACTTAAAAGGATAAAGTTCACGTGTCTGTAAGATACAAACAGAGCCTTAGTTCGGGAGGGGAGGAATGGGTCCTTGCCCCGTATAAACTTCCCCCAGAAGCACTCAGAAAAGGGGCCGAGTATTCAGATGGACAAGGCCCTCATCAGCTTCCCTGCAGTGAATAGCATAGCCATCGTGTTGACTTGTTGCCGTGGCCCTTGGGGTAGGCTCGTTGACAAGGCTCCATCTGGGACAAGGACTCTGCAGGAAGCCTGTGCAGCATCCAGTTCATCACTTCTCAAAGAGCAGTCTCCTGGGGCACCTGTCACTTCTGGGAGATGTTCTCCCACAAAAAAAAAAAAAGAAAAAAAGCCCAGATCACATAAATGTGATAAGAACTGTGGGACAGCAGCATATTAAAGGCTGTAAGAAGTCCTGCAATTAAGAAATTGGCCCAGCATTCCCCAAACGGATTTAATCATCAGGCCTTTAAACAAACAAACAAAAACTGGGGCGCCTGGGTGGCTCAGTCAGTTAAGCATCTGACTTCGGCTCAGGTCATGATCTCACGGTTTGTGGGTTTGAGCCCCGCATCGTGCTCTGTGCTGACAGCTCAGAGCCTAGAGCCTGCTTCAAATTCTGTGCCTCCCTCTCTCTCTGCCCCTCCCCTGCTCATGCTCTGTCTCTCTCTGTTTCTTAATAATAAATAAATGTTAAGAAAAAAAACCTTTAAAAACAAACAAACAAACAAACACTTAGTTGGCACACTGGGGCACATTGATCCAAAACAAAGGTCAGCAAACTTTCTGTCAAGGGCCAGGTAAATACGTTGAGCATACAGACTCTGTCCTAACTATTCAGCTCTGCCATTGTGTCCAGAAAGTGTGGCTATGTTCCCATGAAGCTTCATTTATGAATACTGAAATTTGAATTTCATGTAATTTCCCATGTCATGAGGTAATATTCTTTTGGGTTTTTTTCTCCCCAAACCATTTAAAAAGGTACAAACCATTCTTGTCTCACAGATCATTCAAACACAGGTGGCAAGCCCTTTTTGGTCTGTGGCTGTGGTTTGTTCTCCTTTGATCTAGGATGATGTTTGAGTGGTGTGTCTGCAGCAAGCTGTCCTGACCACCCTGACCACCGTTCTTCAGAGTTGTTTTAATTTAGACTTTTATGTTTCTGGTTTAGGAGCAGATTTAAAAAAAAAAGAAAAGAAAAGTAGTAGAGAGTTGGCTTGAGTATTTACAGGCTAATCTAAAATTTTCCTCAGAAACAGTTAGTGGGTCCTCTTAAACAAGACATTTACAAATTGCAGTTGAAGCCCCAAAGTTTTACTCTGTCACATATGCCTACATCATTTTGACACTGAAATGTTTTAGTGACCATTACTCATTCATTCATTGAAATAAAAGTCAAACACTCTGAGACACTTAATTTTAAGAAAACATTACTTCCTTTTCAACAATCTAAGTAAACCAGTAAACTGTGGCCTCAAGCTAACAGTGTTCTTTTTGATTTTTGACTAGAGGGACATTCTTTCAGCTTCTTATGATGTCATTAAGGAAGAAGGATCAAAACATTCCCACCTCCAAGTCTGACATTTTACTTTCAGTTCAGCAAGTATTTATTGAGTACTCAGTATATGTATATACTATGTATAAAGCATTTTGCTAGCTTTTATGGGGGATACAAAAGGAACAACAAACAGTTTCTTCTTTACCTTGTGATTCAAGTTCAAGATCCTTGCCAATTTAGAGCCCATCACTTTGATACTAGGATTAATTTCACCCCCCTGTCTCTTCCTGTTAGCAAGTGTGCATTCATTCATTCGACAAATGGTTGTGAGTTGCAGCCTGTTTGTAGCCCTGGAACATGGCCTTTAGGGAGCTTCCTTTCCAGAGGAGAGCTGTGTTTCTCTTTTTATCTGGCACTGTGCCATAAGTACATCTTTTATGTGATAGAACAGAAATTATTCCTCTGTATCCCGAGGCCTCCACATTTATATTCCTCACACTGCGTGCACCTCTTCTTGAACTGTTCAGTGAGAAGAGTAGATGTCCTGATACGCCACTCTTCCTGGGTCTGTGCTCTAAGTGCTCTAGTTCCTTCTACCTGAGTGGCACCTACCCCTGCCCACCCTCTACTCTTAGTTACCAGTGAGTTCATAGTTTTACCTGATGCATAATTTTTAAGTTATTGGCTATATTTTGCAATACAGGTCTACAGGTTTGCTAAACATCTTTATAAGCAATATTTTTTTAATGCCTTATTTTATTTTGAGAGACAGAGACAGAGAGCGAGCGGGGGAGGGGCAGAGAGAGAGGGAGACACAGAATCTGAAGCAGGCTCCAGGCTCTGAGCTGTCAGCACATCATAAACTGAGCCAAAGTCGGACGCTTAACCAATTGAGCCACCCAGGCACCCCTATAAGCAATATTATGTGTGTATTTTCTGATTGGGGGAGACTACAGTGCTAATTTTTTCCATTTATAAAAATAATACTTAGTTGCAGTGAAAATTTTGAAAAAATGAGTAATTCTGGCACCTGCTCATCAACTTTATTAATAACGCATATTCTTTCCTTGATTCAAAAATCATATTTAAAGTTTTTAATTAGTAACAGTAAAGCTGACCTTTATTAGTTGTGCAGTTATATGAGTTTTTTTTTTTTAATGTTTTTATTTATTTCTAGGAGAGAGAGAGACAGCGTGAGGAGGGGAGGGTCAGAGAGAGAGGGAGTCACAGACTGAAACAGGCTCCAGGCTCTGAGCTGGCAGTCAGCACAGAGCCCGACGCGGGGCTCGAACCCACGAACTGTGAGATCATGACCTAAGCGAAAGTCGGACGCTTAACCGACTAAGCCACCCAGGCGCCCCTGAGTTTTAAGACCCGTATGGATTCGTGTCACCACCATGACAGTCAAGATTCCAGAAAGCTCTCTTCCCCCGGAACAAGCACTCGCAGCCCCTGGAAACCACTGATCTGCTGTCGTATAATTTTGTCTAGAAATAGAATTACTTATATAAATGCATGAGAATGGCATTTTTAACTTAGTATAGTAACTTTGAGATTCACCAAGTTATTAGGCATATGAGTTATTTGTTCCTTTTTATTGCTAGGTAGTATTTATTCCCTTGTAGAGCTGTACCACAGCTTGGTTATATATATATTATTTTTAGAGTCTCTCTCTCTCTTCTCTCTTTTTTAAAAACATTTTGACATTTCTCATATCCTGAAATACATTAAAATCAACATTAATACGGTGGGGGGATTTTGTTTCCCTAAAAACGTATTGCTGAATTGCAGGTGCATGTGAGAATCACTAGCGTCCTAGCATCACGCTGCTGCCGGGCGAGGGATCACAGTGGGCTGTGAGGGTGATTCGGAGTGAGGGAAAAGAGCAAGAAGGGTACAGAGGAAGGAAGGCCCTGAGAACTTTGCAGGCCGGTGGCCAGAGCCAGCTTTGCAGCCTCTCAGGGCTTTGAGGACATTGTGAGCAGAGGAGTGACCCAAGGAAAGAAGTCTCTGCCAACCAGGCCCATCTGATGGTAGCGAGTACGAGGATGCTCCCCGTCCTCAGAGCTGGTGCATCCGGAGGAAGCGGGGACATGGCAGCAGTGGCCCAGCTAGTACGGGAGGACACGAGGGGAGAGCGTGGGAAGAGTCCAGAGGCAGCAGAGGGCGCCAGCTAGAGAGCCTGTGTGGGGAGGGCAGGAGGTTGGAGGACAGACTGCTCCAACCATAGGTACTGACACGCTCCGACTGGAGAGCTGGGTAAGGCATGTTATTTGGGAAACTCTGAAGCAAAATGAGAGGGTCTCAGCTCTTCAGAGAATTAAGAGTGAGATCTGCATAGGGGTGCCGTGTGAAGATAAGTGGACAGAGGGCATCCTTGATTCTGTGAGCTTGGGCGAAGTCCGATTATTCCATGGAAACCAACTGATTAGGGCCCTTTCCAAGTATAGTTGCATTACGGCTACCTGTATGGGCCAAAGATTTTTTTTTTTAAAACTTATTCTTAGATCCTATCCCCTTTGTCACAACAAGTCAGGTGATTTGTAGTTTGGCAAATCCTACTTTGGTGAGATAGAAGAAGGAACAGTAAGTCATCCTCCCAAAGACAGGTTCCCACTAGCCACTGAGGAAGAGGGAGGCAAAAATAGGGACTACCACTGGAGAGTAATTTACCAAAGGGACTGGCTCCTTGTGGTGGAAAACTCTTTCTGGAAAGCCTCATCCAGCAAGCCACCTCACTCTACCTGCTCACACCTTTCTTGCTCAGGCCCAGGGTACCAGTTGACAGAGTGAAAGAAGACGACCCTTGGAGACAAGATGGAGTCTTGGTAGCTTCCCCCGCTTGTCTCTCTCTTCTCAGAGAGCCACGACAGAAGTTACTGGTCCCTTTGCCTACCATTTGCATATTTGCAAAGTAACTGTTCTTTAAAACTCTAGGACAGGAGGGTAAAGGCTTTGGTATCTGTCGCATTGCTAATTACATCTTCAATCTTTCCTAGGAAAGACTGTATCTTCACCATTGACCCATCAACTGCCCGTGACCTCGATGATGCCCTCTCCTGCAAGCCACTTGCTGATGGTAGGATGGAAATTTCTAGACCTTTCTGGGTAGCGGGCAGTCTGCATGTCTTTGTGGCCATTCTGGCCACCTCGTACTTCCCAGGCAGTATAATGTGCAAGGTTGGGTTTGTTTGTTCCTGAACTTGCCCCTGAGGCTTGCCCAGCATGAGACCTAAAGATTGTGTTCCTGTGGTGACTTTGACAAGGGTGAACACAAGAAAGGTCCTCTGGCTGGGATCCTTCTGGGCCTCCGTGGAGGCAGCGATGAGAGCAGAGGAATTTCTCCCAGGCCTTGGCCCTCCGGGAGGGTCCAGTTCAGGTGTAGGGTGTTAGAGAAGAAAGCCTTAAACTCTTCTTAGGAGAAGCATTGGGTTCTTTACCTGAATTTACCAACAGATTGGGATGACTTGGGAGTGTTCTCCAAAGGCGTCCTCAGCAGCAGGTAGCGGGAGCGCCTTCCCTGACAGTGCCCTCAAGACCTGCCCTGGTGAAGCCTGTGCCATACCTGCAGGTGTTCATCTTCCCAGCAGATTGTGAAAGGTGGCTGGGAGCTAAGCAGGAAGAGTGGGATTTGAAGCTAGTGGTCTTGGACAACTACAGTAGGGCGGAAGGGAAAGTGTGTGGAGTGTGAGACGGGCAAACCCTCTCAGGCCTGCTCCAGTGTCCCCTCCCCGACCATGTGCTGCATATAGTCTTTAGTTACTTCTGGGCCCCCTCTAGGATGATGTTTAGGTGCTGCTTTGGCTTTAGTCATTCTTGGATCTGGCTTTGGCTCCATCATGGGCTTCGATGGCTTGCCGATGATGGGTATCCACGCTTGTGGTTTCAGTCTGTTGAAACCTCCTTCAGGCTCCAGAGTGTTGATGGCTGAGCGGCGTAGTCTTTTAAAACATTGCAGAGGTGTTCATATAGTTCATTAATGCCAAACTCCATAGGTCCAGTGTGTGACCACTTCTCTACTAGTGTAGGCTGTGGAGATTAGCAGAGAGAAGGCAGAGAGACAGAAAACATCATTACCTAAAAATGCTTTTATCTTCTTTTAGTGGGAGTCCTCCTTGAAACTAACCGGAGGCAAGATTGCTCAGTATTTTCAACTGAAGAAAATTGAAAGGAAGATAGAACAAAAAAAAGAAAAGTTGCCATAGAAATTTTGGAGCAATTACATATTTTTAAAATCCAGAATGTAAGCAGCCTACTTTAAAAAACACATACTGAGTCGATTTCTCATCTTCTGAGCAATATTTGCTGAGTGCAAAGGCTTGAACATATTGCTCTCTGTGAGCTCCACTCCCCTAAACTCCAGGGTGAAAAGTGTCCCCAGGAAGCAGGAAGCCGGGTGACAGTGGACCTCACTTCCTGTATTTCCCTTCTCCCCAGGTTCACAGCCCTGCTCTGTAGCCTAATGCTTGAAAAGAGTTGTTTCCTCTATTGTGTCCACTTTTATGGTTGTTAATGGCCGAAGGGTAGGTCCAGTACCTGATACTGCATCTCGGCTGGCCTGGCTAGTATTCTCCTTAGAGGGACACCAGGGAGCGTCACGTGTCCTGCCCCACTCACTCCACACACTACTGACTATGCCTCCTGTCTAGGGGAGCTGATGACCAGCACAGATTTTCCATGGGGAAGTGGGAGAAGGTAGGGCAACAAAAGCAGATTGGGGACAAATTGTACGCATTTATACATTTCCAACCAAAGAACGTTCTTTGTAAGACAACTGAAAACCAATTGTTTTCAATCTTGTGGTCAAGGAGAGCAGTCAAAATAAGGAAAATAATTCACCGGTACAAGATGAAGGAGGAGGAGAGGAAGTAGAGGCAGAGAAGCATCGTAATCACTTAGGGAAACAGATAATAAATTGGACTGGAGTTGGTGGCAGTATGAAGGAGGGTGGGGAGGGCAGATGTGAGGAAGGGGTAATGACAGAAAAATCAATGGAAATGGACATTGGAGTTGAGGGAGAGGAGTCCGAGATGGAGCCAAAGTTTCAACATGGATGGTGGGGAGATGGAATTTACTAGTTAGAAACCAGGAGGGCATGCGGACAAGCTGGCTGGGGAGAGGTTGTGTCTACATGAGTTGCCTGTCTGGTGAGACCCATTTATCTAAGCACATCTTTTTCAGAGAGGCCGGGTACAAATAAGCTGAATGCATGCAGTCCATATAACTACATACACAGCGAGCCCTGAAGAAAAGCCGACAATGCACCAAAGTGCAAACAGCAACTTTTTTAGGATAATGGGATCCTAAGTGTTTTTTTGGTCTTTTTTCTCTGGTTTCCAAATTTTTATAATGGGGTAATAATAGCTTTATAATGAAAAAAATTTTGTAATAAAAAAAAATTATGAGGTGCCAGAAATCACAGGCTGCCCAGTAGCGCACTGCACCAGGTGATCAGATACCTTCCATCTGCTTAGTTATTCTCACATTCCAGAGGAGTAATTAACATCCGGTCATTTGGCAGAGCAGCAGAAAAGGGACATGGAAAAGGAGTCAGAGAAGACTCTGAAAAGGCCAGGGTTGGTCAGTCAAGCGTTTTTATGGTGGCACTTCTACAGTTGGCCTTGGTGACAGCGGTTTCTGCCAAAGCTATTTATCCAGGGAGATGAAAAGTGAAAGTCAATTCCAGTTTGGATTGGGGTGAGGTTGGCTAAGTTCAGGTTCCGTTAGTTACCAGTTCATGTCAGTTTTTGCTTAGAGGAAAAAATGTTTAATGTTTCAAGAAGCAAATAATGTTTTCTGGCCATATTTACATCATCTATAACCATTTTTCTTTAAAGAAAGTATAGAGGTCAGACTTTCCTTTGGTCCTATTGAAATCTCTGAATGACTGTTCTGTGCCAGTGAAACATACCGACGGACGTAACTCACTTTAGTCCTCACTGTCCCATTCTGTCAAGTTCAGATGTCCCCTTGGGACTTGTTGCCAGTATCTCCAATAGGTGTGAGACTTAGACCCTTCAGCCTGCAGTTAAATTCTGCAGAAAGGCAGTGACACCCGCTCTCTGGTGTGTTGGGGTTGTGCTGGCAGGCTGATGAGGAGGTGCCCCCTACCCTCAAGGAATCTCTGCTCTGGAAAGGATTCTCCAGTCATCTAGTCTGCAAATGCCCCACCTCCTGGAGCCTATAAATACATTTGAGTGGAACATTCCCATGGGCATCACCCAGCCCACTAACTTTAACGCGGAGCCATTCACTTCTGCTCAAGAAAATACTGATTAACGCAAGTGAGTAAGAGTGGCGTTATATCGATAACCCCAGAATCTGAAGACAGTAAATCACACCCTCCCTCGTTTTATTACTGTAACAGATCACTTGCAACGCACCTCACAGTTGACCTCACCACTCAAGTGCGGGAATGCCACAGTTGTCACATCACCCTCTGGTTTTCACATTACCTCCACAGCATCCACTTATTGAATATCCAGATCGCATTTTAACTCTACCTTTCAGGAGGCCCATTTGGCCTTAAGATTGCCTGACTGTTAGGAAATCCTTCCTGGTAATGGTCTAGAAATATTACTGTCTTCCTGCAGTTTTCTTTGATCCTGGGATCCTTTGATCCCATCTGTACCTGTTGGAGTCCACAGAACAAGTCTTGCCTGTCACGTGACCACGCCCGAGGCACTAGCAGCAGCTGTCATGTCGGTCTGTGGCACAACTTCTCAGCTAAGCATCATTTTCAGAGGGCGTAGGGTACACACGTATACATATTCTCCCCACGTGCTGTCGTGTGTAAAGTTTGAGCCCGTTTCCCAGGTCATGGAGGCCCTTCTGCCTTGATGAGGTCTGAGGTATGTGGCAGCCTGTATCCAGATTTCTCCATGGCCATCAGATCCCAGCCAGTTCTCCTTACTGGGCTGACCCAAGTCCAGAGTAACAGCCACCTGTTCTCTTCAGTTACACAAGCCTTCTTGCTTCACTTTAGTCTCAAGAGGAAATTGTTAGGCAGGACCTTTACTCAGCTTAGCCGACTCGGGCTCCCACCAGACCCTGCAGGGAGTTGATGTTCACTGCCCCTCTCACAGCTGGTTTTCCCAGTGTTTTATCCTCTAATGAGCGCTCTGCCTTTGGACGTGGCAGGATTATCCTAGGCAGGCCTTAGAAATGAAGGATTTGGGCTAGGGAGGGGGGACTGGGGAATGACTGCTAATGGGTTTGGGCGTTCTTTTTGGGGTGATAAAAATGTTCTGAAGTTAGATGGGTGATAGTTGCACAGCTCTCAGTATACCAGAAACCCCTGGGGGAAGCGAGTGAGTGGATGAATGAATAGGAATAAACAAACAAACCAACCCATTCCTCCTTGAGGTTTTCTGGGGAGTTGGCACCTGACCACAACTTAGCAGAGGGCTGGAGGGAATGCCTGGGCTGGGTACCCACAGTCACGTCCCTTGCGCCTGTCTCTCCCCTTTCTGCTTTCGTCTCTGAACCATGAAATTCCCGCTTAAGGAGCACACCCTCTATTCAGCCACCCGCTCACCTTTCCCGTCCCCACAGAGCACAGCCACCTGATTCAAAGCAGGATCTTACCTACTGCCCAGGTATAAGAAAATGCTCAGATGCACAGACATCCTCCCCCCTGAGGGAGCTCGGGAATGCAGGTTACCGACTTTGCTGTAGGGGGCGCCAGTCTTCTGGCTTGGTTTGCCTCCATTGCCTTCCTGGTTGCATGGTTTTCCCTTCTCTGAGGAGGAAGGACTAGAGAACTGTGTCTCAGTAAGGGAATAGGAACGAGAGACTAGAAGCAAAGCCTGTGAGAATTTCATAGAATTCCTAAACTCTGTACCTTCCCTGTGTGGTTATATTTGTCACCTGCTGGAGAGTTTCTTGTTAGGACGAATGCCTTCGCAGGCAGTACGGAAGCAGGAGCTGGAGAGACCGTACCCCTGTATTCCAGGCTTCGGCCAGAGAACCTGACCAGTAGAATGGGTGGTAGTCGTTTTAGACAGCGAACTGCCGACAGGACGTCTCTGGGAAGGAACAGAGAGCACGGAAGTCCTGGAGCTCGTGCGTGAGCGTCCA